CTTTGTTATACTTTATATATTAATTTTTTAAGCTAGTAAATACAGATGGAAAAAATGTATGACAAAAAATATTTAATTAGGCTACTACAAACATACATAAGGTACTGGTCCACCTCATTTGTATGTGTTGTTTTATGTGTTTTTGAGGCATTTGCAGTTCAATATGAATATCTTCAAAACAAGTATACACAAGTGGCGAATGCTTAAAATTCGTCACCGCAGTTACACTTTGTTGCGATGGCAGCCCCGAGTTCGCAAAACAGCCCAAGTTAACGACTCCCAAATCATCCATTGCTTTTTTTCTTTGTCTCGCACAATTGCATGTAGTTTAAGTGGGATTGTCCATTAAACACTATTCCTACCTCTCAAAACTTTATTTTACAAAGATTGCAAATCGCTGTGCTACAAGTTTCTGTTAAAAGCGTAAAATTCTCCCAGATCATCACGTCTTATCTTATGCTCCTCGTACTGCGAAGGGGATATGCATGACGTCACAGCAGGCGGAAGTTACTGTACTCATACCCACTGAGTAGCAAAAAAGACTGAGGGGCAGCGTTAGCGTTCGATTTGAATGCCACAAAAAATCACATGTAAAATGGGAAAGAGCTGTCGTGCAATTGATTGTACAAATAGCTCCTATTTCATGTTAAATCTGTCTTTTTAGAGATTGCCAAAAACTATAAGTACGTATAGGACGTGAATCGGTCACTCGTGGCTGATACCCAACCAAATAGGTCTGGATTGGCGCCGATACCGATCCACTTCTAACTTTTATTATTGCTGTATTATCATTTTGTACTGTATTACCTACAAATTCAACTTAACAGACTTGGGGAGCGGATATTATTCGTAACTTGGGGACTACCTGTATATCATTGTCCTGTGTTTGAGCTTACAATTTTGCTTGATTGTTTATAGTACCATTGGTTTCTACATTTTGTCCGTATGCTAAAATAGTCATACATACACTACCAGTCAAAAGTTTTACCACACACTAAGATTTTGTACATTAGCATGTCACCCACTTTACATTTACTAAAAATACACTCAATATTCTCTGCTAACAAAAATATTTACAGTATGTTCAGCCTTTGAGTACATTTCTTGGCAAGAAAATATCTTTGATTAATCAACGCACCCTCCTCTAGCAGTTATAACAGCAGAGCAAATTTAATGCATTCTTTCTACAAGGGACATTACATACTTTTCTGTTTCATGGGATGAAACAGTTAACTAGTGCATTTAAAGTTAAGGGACAGCCTAGAATTTGACTATGCCATCACCCCACAGCTAGTTAATAGGATGTCAGACGTGCACTGTTACATACTCTTTCCATTTTATAAAGGAAACTTGTTTCATTTGACTTATAAATAAAAAATATAGTTATTCATTCAACTTTCCAATGCTAAGCAAGAAATCTGCAGTTTATAAAATACATGGAAAAGTGGTAAAAACCTGTGGTGTGCAAAAACGTTTGACTGGTAGTTTTAATGTTCTGATTAGCTTGATTTTATTGGAATGTTGCAAGTTTCATTATTGTTTTGGTCAACCAAAATCATTAGTGTCATTTATTTGTGCATTTAAGTGAATATGTCAGTTTGCTTGAAATTGAAGAATACGACCCCAGTGATGCAAGTCTTCAGGAAGCCATTGGGAACTCGCTGTCTGACACTACTTTTGGAACCTTGAAGTAAGCTGGTTAAAATTATTTGTATTATTTATTGCATGTTTTTGCCATTATATTGCAATTTGCATTTTCTACTGTCATTGTTTTTGGTAAGAAGATCAACTTCTTGTTGAAGGTCAAGAGTTCCTCACAGAAAATAATATAAGATGACACTGAGGGAGATGCAGCAAATTTGAGGGAAAATGATCTCTGTAGCATAAACAAGATATTTAACTTTAATTTTCTTGTGTTTTTCTGTATCATAGCAAAGATCAACCAACAATGGAAGAAATTATTCAAGGGCTTAATGAACAGATCATCCATGATGAAGTGGTTCGATTTAATATAATCAGAAGAAATGTATGGGATGGTGCAGTAAGAGCAATGAGTAGACCTAACTTTTCCCCTAACAAGACAGTTGACGTCAAGTTCACAGATGACCATGGAATTTCTGAGGGGGCCGTAGACAATGGTGGTCCCACTAGAGAATTTTTTCGATTATGTCTGCAAGAAATAAAGGATTTTTGTGGAATGTTTGAGGGGTCTTCAAACGCCAAGATGCTGTCGTGCAATTCCAGAGGTAAATGAAATTAATGTAAAATAATTAAGCAGTAAAACATGAGAGGGAGTGCTATATCATGAGATATTGGCACTGGTTCCCTGCAGTCACTGGCACGAGACTGAAGGCTGAGTACAATAGATCCGATTACCAGTGCCAATATCTTACTGTATTGCACAACCTCGAGTGTATTATTGATTTTACCACAGTTTACCTGTTAATTTTAATTTATCGCTGTTGCAACAATAAAGACTTTTATCACTCTCAGGATTTCTCTCAGCCAATCAAAATGTCAGGTTTGAATTAACTGTGGTAAAGTAATATTTAATATTGCTTTTGGTGAGATGCTTTTTTTATAAACAGCTATGAAGTACAACTGGTACTTCCTGGCAGGTCAGCTAATGGCCATGTCAGTTGTACATGGAGGCCAAAGCCCTGGCTTCCTTTCTCCTGTACTTTTCAACTCGCTGGTCAGAGGTCCAGACAATGTCAAAGTTACCATCTCGGATGTGCCTGATGCTGAGACAAGCCAGACGTTGCAGTCGGTATGGTTTGTATGAAAAATTTCTTGTCAAAATCTGTTTCAATAATATGCATATTTACTGTGCCTGCAATAACTGTGCTTTTAGATAAAAAATGCAACCACAGAAAAGGAGCTGGAGGAGTCTGTTTCTGCAGCGTCATGTCTGATAAGTCTTGCAGGTTGCAGTCACAAGGTAACACTTACCAACAAAGATGATGTGTGCACAGAACTAGCTGAATGGTATATGCTTCAGAGGACACGAGCTCCATTTGAAAGGTATGCCTTTCAGTCTTATACTGACACACTGTGCGGCAGTTTCTGCAATAAACCTAAATAGGGCTGGGCAATATCATATCGATATGATATCGCCCAGCCTTAAACCTAACCTTAATTGAAGATAAAATCACCCTCTTAAAGGGATAGTCTGGTGGGAAAATTGTATCTGAGGTCAACTTGTATCTGGGTTTCTCTGGCGATTAGCCTGATTTAGCCTGTAACAAATCTGCAAAAAAAAAAAACATCAAACATGTTCTCTGAGGGGGCATGTGTCCAGGGCAGATTTTTTACGAATTGACTTACTGTAAAGGTGGCACCCTATGACAGGGCCATGTAGAACTGAGTGCTTTAATACAACCCATGCTATTGCCAGTACAGGTATCCCCCATTTACCGTCCATTCGAGTTAATGGTCATGGCCTAAGAAATTAAAAATAAAATGTGTTTTAATGCCAGATGTAGCGTGACATAGTGGTGTTTTTTAAAATGTGCGGGTAGGCTGTAAGTAGCTTTGTCAGCCAAATAAGACACTTTAATGTACAGCACTGCTTGACATATAATGTTACAGTACTGACATAATGACATATATCTTATTTTTATTCTTGAAAATAATGTTTGTAACATTTTCATTGTGCAATTACAAGTGTAGAATGATCTAAGCTGTAAATAACTATTAATCTTTGTTCACATTTATGATTTAATCATTTAGTGTAGTTATTTTCAATATAGAGACTTTTTTTTTTTCAAATTTCCTTTATTTCCAATTTAGGTTCCGTGATGGTCTTCAGAGCTTGGGTGTGTTGGCTGCACTTCAGAAATACCCAGAAAAGTTCCAAGATGTGTTCATGAAAGCAACCAAACCTCTAACTGCTGCAGCTGTTGAGCTTCTCTTCAGGTGCAAACTGCCAGAAAGGGGCAGTAACAGATTTGAGGCACAGTGTCGCACCTTGGGATACTGGCGAGATTACCTCCAGGATGCTGAGGGTAAGATCATCTTTGAACAGAGTTGACCCATTATGATTTTTTTGTGATTTTTATTGGATTTTATCAGTGAAACATTTGTTTTAGTTGATGTAGAAGCAGTCACCTTGGAAGAAATTC